GGAAGAGTCAGGAGGAAAAGTAGCTTGAAAAACATCGTTGTTGGCATAATTTGCAATGCCTGAGTGTTTTAAGAGTGGGCCCAGTATCGCTCCTTTTCACCAAATGGCTTTTCAAGTCATACTGGATGCAGCTCTGTCCGCATAAAAGTCCCAAGAAGTGAGAAGTCAGTAATGGGAGAAAGGGGGGGGGGTTCAGACTGTCCCACTGGACAGTGCCAAGGATGGACCGCCAGCCCGTCTAGCCAAACCTGCACACTCATACTTGGACAGGCATGGAGGGCAGCTCTGTCCGGCCCTGTGTCTGCACCTGTTAGGAGCAGTGGTGGCTTCCATGGGTCCTGAGTCTCTCACAGGCTCATAGCCAGTTCCAGGAAGTTGGCTTCTGGGCAGAGGTGGCTAGTCAGTGCCCTCTGTTCCTTGGCTAAGCTGCCTTCACGTGTTTCAAAGCTGTCTCTGAATTCCACATTTCACCTAAGTCAGCTCACGCCAGACACAGGACCAAGTATGTGGTCACCACCTAGCTCACTGGTTGGCTGCTCACTGGTCAATGTCCCGAGGAGCATATTCCAAGTCCGTCAAGCTGCAGATAGAGCGCTGCAAAGCACAGAGCTCCTTCCTCCATGGCCAGCTCGTCTTCTCACTGGTGAAGTTTTGAACTCCAACCCTCCAGGGTATAAAGAACAGGCAAACAGCTAGCTTTTAAAACACAGCTTTCAGGCAGTTCACACACAGTGCGTAGAAGTGAAAATTGGTCTGCAAGTTTGACGTTGTCTGTATAAATGAAGGTCGTGTGTCTATCCTACAATCTAGCAACTTTACTCTGAGGAATTTCCCTTAGAGGTGCACAGTCCAGGGACACAGAGTATGTGTCCAGTGAGCACACAGCATGTGCTCACTGTGACATTGTTCTTAGTATGTAAAAAGTATGGTTCCTACATGCACTCATTCATAGAGCTCTGAAAAATGAAGAACATGAATATACTAGTGTGGAAAGAACTTTAAGATCCAATATTAAAGTGAGAAAAGGCCTGCAAAGTATGGTACCATTTTTTAAAATAAAAACAAATCATACACACACAAACACACTACACACATGTACACAGATACACACTGCATACACACGGTAATACATACATACTACACACACACACGCGAATACTATAAACACAAACACACTACACACATGTACACAGATACACACTGCATACACACGGTAATACATACATACTACACACACACACGCGAATACTATAAACACAAACACACTACACACATGTACACAGATACACACTACTGCATACACACGGTAATACATACACACATACTACACACACACACGAATACTATAAACACAAACACACTACACACATGTACACAGATACACACTACTGCATACACACGGTAATACATACACACATACTACACACACACACGAATACTATAAACACAAACACACTACACACATGTACACAGATACACACTACTGCATACACACGGTAATACATACGCACATACTACACACACACACACACACACACACACACACACTGCTTGCATTGACATTTGGGAATATGCTAGAATAATATTTATTAACCCAGACCTTCTTCCTCTTAGAAGATTGGTCGTGTACAGAAGGGGAGGTAGTTAGGGAGCAGGGGAAAGACTTGCTTTTCATCTTGTGCCTTTCAGCATTATTTGAATTGACTTTCCTTTGTCATATACAGGGTGAACACCCTATTCAAAAGTTTAAAATCTGAAGCACCCCAAAATCTAAAATATTGACACCACAGGTAAAACATTTCACACTTGACCTCACGTCATGGTCAAGATGCTGCACTGTAAGGATACTGTATAAAATCCCCCTCAGGCTGTGTGTATAAGGTACATATGAAACATGACTGAATTTTGTGTTTAGATGAAATGTGCACATTTCATGGGTCCAGGATATCTCACGTGTGTATGTGCAAGCATTCCAAAATCAAAAAACCAAAAACAAACCAACCCTGAAATCCCAAACACTTTTGATCCCAGGCATTTCAGATAAGAGTTACTCAACTTGTACTTCTTTTTTTTTTCTTTAAATGTATTTACTTTTTCCAAGAGTGAGACAGACAGAGACAACAGTACTTGTTCAACAGGGTTTTGACACCACCATCTACCCTCAGCCTCAACTAGGCCGGCATCAGGGACAGGAACGTGGGCACCTGATGTACGTAGGGAGGTCTCTGGATATCAGCCTGAACCTTCCCGGGTGGGTCAACGCCCCAGAGCATTGCATTTACCTTTGCACCACTGACCAGCCCCCTGTGTTCTGTTTCTTAAACAAACGTTTGAAATAAAAATCTAGTTAAGCAGAAAAAAAAAAAATTAAGTTCTATATAGCCTCTTATTTGTCTAATCTAGCCTCTTGCTAAAGCCCAGGAAAACTGGTTCTGGTAATTCCTGGCTACATGAGCATGTATGGGCCTTACTTAGGAACACAGATCTCATTCTTGGGGTTTGCCGACGATGACTAGAGGTAATTAGAGTATAAAAAAAGAAACCAAACTGGGCCTGCCCATAGCCTAGTGGTTTAGGGAGGTGGATCCCACATGGCTGACTATGATTTGGCCCGGTGGCTTGAAAAACATGCTAGGCACGTGCTTGTACACGTCCCAAATCCTGATAGGATGGAGAAATGGAGAAGGAATTGAAGCGAGACTGTGCCCTGTTTGGTGATGGTGGGTGGTGGGGAGTGTGGGGTGTGCTTCCTCTCTCTCTCTGTCTGGGGTTTGGCAGTTCAAAAATAACAACCAAAAAGGAGGGGGGAGGGGATGTGAAAATCCACAGAGCAATGAGATTCTACTATTGTGTCTTCTCTCCAGCTTGTCTGTGTTGCTTTCACCTAGGGTAGATTCTAAATTACTATTTTGCATAACGAATTCAAAGAGAATGAGACCGCTTGGAACTAGCAGTTGGCGAAATGGCTATGTCACTGGACTCCCATGTGGTCAACTGTGGTCCAAGTCCCAGACCTGGTGGCTTATACTTACGCCGGGCATGTGTGCATCCGTGCCCAAGATCCCAAGAGGAGAATGGAGGGGAAGGGATTGTGGCATGGCCATCCCCCCTGGGGGGTGATTTCTCACTTTCTGTTTCTCTGTCTCTGTCTTTCTGGCGAGCGCACATGCCCTATAGCAAAGACCTCTCCACAGAGAGAGAGAGAGAGAGAGAGAGAATTAGACCCCTTTAATCAACACGGAGGTCTGTGCTCTGATGTCCTGACATCAAAACGGAGTGTTTTAGCCTGGGGAACCATCTCTAGAACATTTCCTATAAGGAATGGCGGGTCAGTATTCTGATCGCATGTTTGGTAAGAATACCAGCAAAAGGCCTGATTTTCCTCTGTTGGTTTTCTTTTCCTTATCAGTATGCTAAATACTTAATTTGTACTGGACTCTGACTGTTTAACGGGTAGGGTAGCCAGGGACAAGAATGAAGGGAGGACTTATTACACCAGACTTCCTGAAAAAGCAAACTCTGTCTTGATTGTATAAAGAAGATTTAGTCTGAAATTCAGTTTACATACACTGAGCAAAGGCATTACTGTTTGTGAAACACTCCTAGTATTTTTGATTTTTGTTAAAATTTGAATCTTCTGAACAGTGACAAAAGCACTTAAAGAGTTGTGTTACTGTCAGAAACAATTTGAAGGATGCTTCTGTGTTTTGGAATGTGCTGCTTCTCCAATTATAACCAGTATTTAGTTTTCCTTTTTTAAATCAGGGGAAGTGGTCGTGAGTTAGGGCATGAGGATGTGCATTTTGCCAAACGGGTTGACTTCTTGATAAGAAATCTGAGGACTGTGTTACTGAATCACCCTCTTTTCCCATGAAATGTTCAGATATCAGCAATTTTGTAGGGTTCAACCTAATATATGTGAAATGCTTACTTGAAAAACAGAGGGAGACTTACTGTTTGCCTTTTTTCAAAGCCCTTGGTTCTTTCTTCCCTGAGATAACTACATTAGCCTGTGTTCTAGTTTATGGTATTTGGTAGATAATAGACACTCAGTAAATGTTAGCTGACTTGAATTCACATGTGTTGAGACAACATTATTATTATTATGTGCTTAATTGCTAGCGGGCATGTGCACTTGCCAGACAGAGACAGAGAAGCTGGGCGGTGGAGAGAAAGCCACCCCCACAATGGGGTACTGTTACACTGCAATCTCTTCCCCATCTCTTCATTCACTCAGGATTTGGAGCAAGCCTGCACCAGGGCCAGGATTTGAGCAATGGTTGGCCCCATGGGATCCACTTTCTGTAACCACCAGGCTATGTGACCAGCCTGGGAGATTATTAAAGGTGTGGAGGAGTCTACCTTAAGCAAGCTATTCTCTCCTCTAAGGCACGTCTCAGTCATTCTTTGGGTGAATTTGTTTTCTTTCTGTCACTGGTCTTTGGCAGTCTTTCCAAACTATTTGTTATACATGTATGTTGTTTTTCGGTTAGATTTCTGAAGAGAGAATCTGCCTATAGGAGAGTGAGGAACCTACATCAGCAAATCATCTGTCTCCAGCCATGGGCCCTGACGCAGCTGTGTCAGCCTCCTGGACCCCTGAGGCGAGACTTGAGCCAGTTGATCTTACAGGTTTCCCTGGCTGTGGCCCTAAATAGATCTTGGATGTTTTCTTCATGCTCTTTGTAATGCGTTTGTTAGGACATAGAAACCACAAGTATGTCCTGCACACATACCTAATCTGCTTAGGGAAGGAGGCTCGTATATATTCAAGTGTCAGTGGCAATATTTACTCTAGTTAATCATAGTAAATCACAACAATTGACTGCTTTGTATTTACAAAACACTGCCCTAAGTACTTTCTCATTTCCACCTGACAAGGAAGGACCCTCTGAAGAAGATACAGTTATTTTCTCCAATCTGCAGGGAGCCAAGATGCTGAGAATTTAAGTAACTGACCAGGAGTCTCCTAGAGAGCCAGAGATGACTCTGGGGTGCAAACCCCATTTGGACCCCACAGCTGAGGAAAAATGTGACCTGTCGTCTGTCCCCATCAGTCTTGAATTGGTCAAGCCAGAGTCTTAACTAACTAGTCACAGTTCGTTAATATTAGAGATGGGTTGACTTGATTTAATCTTTTTTTAAATCTTGTATACTTTTCCCATGGTTTAGCATTTTACGTGGTAAGTAGGGCAAACTGGGTTAAAATCAATACAGAAATACTTAGCCTATGATGAACGTTTTCCCGAAGAGGTGACTTTTCATTGTAAAGATCTCCAGCAGTAAGAGAATAAGAGGGTCCCTGGGTACAGGCATTTACAGGAGTGATCAGCCTCTCAGCCACCACCACTCAAACCTTGGGGCTTTTAGGCAAATCAGATGCCCTCTTGAAAACTATCACTGAGTTAGGGCGAAGCAAGGTTGAATTAAAACAGAGCTCTTGGAGGGCACGTGAATCCATCTAACTTTGCCGCCTTCCAGGTCTGACCATTTCCTAGATGTCCCTGTTCCCACGGAGACTGATGCTTTGTTCTTCCTGCTCCCCGTGTGGTTTCTTCTGCATAGAGGGTCCCTATTGATCGATCTGACCCGTGGTGTTTTAGTCATGATCCCTACTGTTTTCATTATTCCTTTCCCCCTATGTAGGAAAAAAAAATATATAGTACTGAGATGTAAGATCAGGGGCACTGGCATTTAATTGAACGCAAGAACCCAAAACAGGTGTAATGTTTTAGTGTTTTATTTGTTTTGTTTTTGCCATAGGGTACATGCGCTCGCCAGAGACAGAGAGAGAGAAATCAACCCCCAAGGGAGGATGGCTGCAACCCCTTCTCTTCCATTCTCCTCTAGGGATTTTGAACACTCACACACACTTATCTGGCTTGATTTTCAAGCCACCAGGTCTGGGACCCAGACCATGGTCAGCCCTGTGGGAGTCCAACACCTTAACCACCATGCCACCTGCTGGCCCCAAAAAGTGTAATTCTTAAAGAAGCACATCTCTTATTATGAACGTGCTCAGAAATTTGTGGTTGATTTTGTTCCCTAATAGAGCAATTAAATAAGAAAAATAAATAAATAAATAAATAAATAAATAAATAAAAAGGAAGGAAGGAAGGAAGAGGACGAGATGGAGAGTTATTTAGATGTATTCTAGCATTACCGGAGTAGAAAGTGGGATGTTTCTTCACTGGGCAAGTCCTTATTCTTTATGGTCCTTTTGGGTCTGGTGTGCCACAGTCTCTGGGTCCCTGAACATCCTGAAGTTGTCAAGGTCATTACAGGGAAGATCATGATCTGAAAATAAGTCCATCAAGTTTAGTTGCTCAACTCCCACCCCCACCCCGTGATAGCACAGCCGTAAAATCAGTCGCATACACACTCTGGGTGCCCTGTGCCCATTTAATCACTGTGCCAGCTTGTTAGGGCCACAAATGCCACTGTCTTTTCCAGGGAGGTATTTTAGGGGGTCTGCAAGAGGGCAAGTGACCTGGGTCCCTAACATCCCAATCCCCCACACTCTGGACTGTCTCTACTTTACATAGAAGATCTGTCCTATACATTAAATATTGCATAAGATCATTTTGTTATTCTTACTGAAACAAACAAAAATATCCTCTCACTCCCTCCCCGAAGTCCTCAACATCTGAAAGCCACTCTCTAGAAGTCATCTTGCAGGAGAGCGAACTATAGGACCGTTTGTATGCCTCCTGCATTCTCTTATGTAGTTTTTCCCCATTTATAGAAGAGGTGAAAAACAACACTAAGACATTTAGTTGTTGTTACCTTTTAAAGTCTTCTATTTAGGGCAGTGAGAACAGTACTGACTTAATGCCCATTTCCAAGGTTTTAAGGTAACATGAGCACTTTCGATCAATTTCTCTCTGGCCTTCTGTTTTGCCTTGCGAACTTCTTATCATCCTGCCCCATCTTTAACTATTCATCTTGAATTGGGTATCCAAATATAACCAATAATGCTCTTTCTGAAAATATGCCAATTGTGGTAATTACAGCAAAGCTGGAATATTAAATTGTGATGTCTGATTTCTAAAGAACGCAGTTCTATTCCCCAAAGCATAGTCTTGGTGCCTGTGCAGGTTCTATTTTAAATATTCCAGGAAAGTTCGTTTCACATATTGGGGATGCTTTTGCTTATCTTGCTCGCCATCTGAGATGTTGGTGTTCCTCTTGCGGAAGGTTATTCAAACGAACAAGGACGTGTCACGCCATGCCAAGTCATGTTTCCCAGACATTTTCATGTTTGGTTCACCACATGCACCATCTCCCGAGAGTCTGGGCGTGCCGCTGTGGGAATATCATTTTGCCCGTTAAGCCAGGCTGGCAGCTCAGTGATCACACAATCCCAGTCCATGGCCGTTCTCTTAGACTTCCTTTGCGATCGTAATCTAAACTGCTCTTCTACAGGCAGTAACGGTGGGTTAGTTACACCAGCTTAGGTCCTTGCTAGCTGTTTCTTGCTAGCCGTTGGTCTCATAACTCAAGTTTAAGTTAAGTCTAGCCGGGGGAACACTATCAGTTTTAGGATCAAGGAGAAAAGGATGTTTTCTACTAGTTGTGAGCTCCCAACATTGACTTTCTTGGGTAGGAATGAGCTCCCCATTGGGGAGGTTCTGGTCTCACTTCATTGTAACCCAGTCAAGATAAATGTAGGTGTCCTGTAAGACTCTAATTTGGGAGACCCTGCATTGTAGAGTAAAAGCAACTTTCATATTTGGGTGGACGATATTTTGTCTTCCTGTTTCAAAGAGAAGAATCTATGTTGGCAATTTCTTTCATGCAGGAGAAAATGATCTCCCAGGATGCATGGGTTCTCCTCCATTCCCTCTCTGAGCTTCTGCTCCCTCCAATGTAAGGCACATGAGGCAGCTGGCAAAATATCCCCTAGTTTTTGAAAAGGAAGGGAGTCGACCCCAGAATGTGTAGCTCTGAGCACAATGTCCCATCTGGTGTCCTTACAAACTGGTAGGAGTGTGTGTTGAGGCAGGCTCGTAGGGGACATATTGCGTATTGAGCAACCTTCCTGGGGAAAAATTTGGCCAAGCATGTAACATGGGAAAAGCCTTAAAGCCATAAATCCTTTATTATTATTCTTATTCAGCCATCGCCTTCTGGAGATTTATGCCGTGATGATTATTAAAGACATGTAATGATTGGCTGTTAGGATGTTCATCATGGTGTTGTTTAATACTCTTTTAAAAAGACCCAAAACAATGAGAGTTCAAAAATAGAAAAAGGAGGGACCAGCAGTTGGCATAATGGCTATGTCGCTGGACTCTCATGTAGTCAACCAAGGTTCAAGTCCCAGACCCGGTGGCTTAAACTCATGCCAGGCGTGTGTGCGTGTGTGCCCAAGATCCAAGAGGAGAGTTGAGGAGAAGGGATTGCAGCATGGTCGTCCCCCTGGGGAGTGATTTCTCGCTTTCTATCTCTCTGTCTCTCTGGCGAGCACACGCACCCTATAGCAAAAACTGCTCCAAAAAAAAAAAAGATATATATATATATATATATGTGTGTGTGTGTGTGTGTGTGTGTACATATATATATCCTAATGTGTGCATTATAAATAAAATTTTGCAAGTATGGAGCTGGCAGATGTGGTGGTTAGGCACTGGACTCCCACATGGCTGACCATGGTTTGAGTCCCAGACCTTGCAACTTGCTTTCACCCTTCCCCTCTCTGTCTTTTGCTCTGTCTCTCTCAAATTGAAGAAGAAGAAATAAAATTAAATGAATAATTTTTTAAAAACTCATGGAAGTATATTCACTGACATGGAAATAGGTGTACGAGAATGTCTAAGAGCCAGTTTTACTGTGCAAAACAATATATATATCATCACATATCATCTGTTGATATAAGAATTCATTTGCATATGTATACACACCATAATTTTAATAGTGGTAATCTCTGGGATCACAAGTGATTTCAGTTTTTTCCTCTAGTATACCTGTAATCTCTCATGATTATTTTGTGGGGTGGGAGGAGCAATGCAATTCTCTTATATTAAGAAAAATAGTGAGGCATAAATTTAGACAAGTAACCACCTTCTCTTGCTTTTCTCTTGCTTTTCTTGTGATCCAAGCCAAAGGGAAACCCAGGCACCTTGGGCCTATTGTCATCTGCTATGACAACAATTCCCAAAACATGGGACCAGCAAGTGGTATAGTGGTTAAGGTGCTAGACTTCCAAATTGCTGACTGCAGTTTGAGTCCCAGACCTGGTGATTGAAACTCATGTTGGGCACATGAGTCTGCATGCCCAAAATTCCGAGAGGAGAGACCAGAAGAGGAGGGATTGTGGCATAGCCATCCCCCCGAGGGGTGATTTCTCACTTACCCTCTCTCTGTCTCTCTGACGAGCACACGCACCCTGTAGCAAAAAACCTCTCTCTAAAAGAAAAAGAAAAATGCCCACAACTCAAGCTCCCACTTGTCTCCTCAGGGAAGGAAAGCCCCCCTGTAAGTGACACTCCAGATGATGGCGATGAGCCCATGCCTGTCCCTGAAGACCTTTCTACCACCTCTGGCGGACAGCAGAATTCCAAGAGTGAGCGAGGAGTGGGTAAGTTGGGTCGACCTGGCGTCCTGCTTTCTAGCAGGCTAGTGCATGCTCTACTCCTAAGAAACCTGGTTCCTTTATGACCCTCCCAAGAGAGTGAGTCAGGACCACAAGTCATTTTATCCCTAAGCCAGACATTAAGGAAATATGGTACAGAGATCCACAGAATGGGTCTTCTAGTGTGAAGTGACACCCACATGCCAGCAATGTGGCGGAGATGAGGAGCCCTGCCACAGGCTGCATGTCTCTCTTCTCTGCCCTCCACGCACATGCAGGAAGATCCCATTTTATGGACTGTAGTTCACAAACATGACACAGTCCCTGTGGTATGGCAGTAAGAGCTTTGGGTTAGGAGGACCCTCACCTGGCCCTTAATCTCCAGTTTTAAAATATCAGATTTAACTGAAAAGAGAAAATTTGATAAAAGGGAATTTTTAAATGTCCAAAAAGTCCAGATGACCGAAGTCGACAGACATTTATATGCCTTTTCTATAAAGGGCTAGGTATGCAATCACCTCCAATGAGGAGCTTCCTGTGGTACGGTTCACACTTTGGAAACCTCTCCCACCCGCTTCACTTCAAGAAAACAAGGGACTGGAGGAGTTCAGTGAATTGGCAAAGGTCAGATGGCAGAGTCAAAATTAAACTCAATTTCTGACTCAAAGAGCAGTTCTCTCTGTTTTACCATGTTCTCATGAGCAAATGAGTCAACAGTTCCTTGGAATATTTTCTTTTTTGAAAACAAAAAAGGCCATGATTCTGAGAGCCACCTCTTAGCACAAAAAGCCATCGAGAAGGATGTGCAGGTCACAAGACGTAGAGTGGGTTAATGTGGACCAGATACATGCACCCCTGTGGCCCAAGAGGGGCAAATGTTGGTAAAATGTTCAAGTTTATGAAAATCACCTTGGCCTTCTTTGTGTAGAACATCATGGTGTAATAAGTAAGAATTATATAAAGATATATAAAGCGTGGTTTGTATTTTTTATGTGTTTTAGAAACCAAGTTGGCTTTGGGTATGATGGCTCTTTTTCATTTTACTTTAGCTCTCTAATTAATTGCACAAAGAAGGATAGCAGCCAGAGGGCTTGAGGATAGATGCACCAAGCAAACAGGCACATCTATGAATTCTTTTTCCCTCTCAGAAAAGGGCTGCTGTGTGTGGGGAGGCAGGCGGGCTAAGAAACAACACCTGTGTATTATCCACCCTTTTCTATGCAGGAAAGCAGGCATGCCATTCCAGGCCTTCCCAAAGGTGGGACACAGACAATTCTACGTTAATGGTTGTACTCACTGTTAAGATTGCTATCTAGTTTTTACATAAGTGATACTGTGTTGAGCGCACACTGGACTCCTACAAAGGTTCCTTTCAAAGCATATTTATAGAAATGAAAAAAGACAATTTAAGTAAAAACATTAAGCCAATAATAGTACATACAGATGATAAAACTTTGCAGATATGGCGCTGGGCTAGCTAAATGGGGGCAACCCTGCCTTATCCCATATGTGTAGTCCCTAAAGCAGCCAGTGGGGTGGGTACTGTTCTCGCACTTCCTACTTGAGCAGACAGGTGATCATAACTTGCCTGAAGACGAAAAGTGAGAGGCCCAGGGACTAGGAGCAAAAAACTGATCCATTAACCACGTAAATGAGCTGGGAACCCAGACATCAGAGTTAGGACACACCATAGGGCCATGGGACCATGGCCATCCTTTGGAGAACTGAAAGTCAGGCTGGTTCCTGGAGAGCAAAGAGATACACAGCTCACGTGGTATTGATACATAAATCTCATTCTGAATGCCATAGAAATTCTGAGTCTCGTCCCATGTGAACGGCAGTGTCGGTGGCTTTCCCTGGGTGGGAGATGGCAGCGGTTTGTCAGAGCCCAGCTCAGGGTCCCAAGTTTTTCTCCAGAGCCTCCACGAGTCATTTCAGTGGGTTCCTCTCACTGCCTCTCGTCATGTGCGACATGATTTTCAGGCACTTTTAGGATCAAGTTTAGAAAATAAGAGTATTTCAGAAAATAAGAATTTTAGAACTGTGTTCTTTGCTTGGTTTGTAAATGGCAGTGGCGGCGCCCTGTGGACAGGCCAAGAAAGCAGTTTGAAGTGGGTCCTGAGTCACTGTTTCGGAGAGCGAATGTTCTGGTGGGGGCTGGAGGCCCAACCAGCTATCGGTCAGTGCAGAAGAACCCAGAGGACCGATTGAGTGCCAGATAGGGGAGAGGTTTGAGGAGAGGAAGTCAGGGAGAGAGAGGATCCCAGAAGACCCAACGGTAGACAGAGAGTTGAGGGAACAAAACACCACAGTTCTAAACAGTGACGAAGTCTGAAGGCCATCCTCCATGATTCTTGAAGGGAAACACCTAGACTGAGCATGTGGTGGTCAAATGTTAGTAATTTGTAACAGGTAACGTTAAAGAAGTGAAGAATATAGATGACTTTAGGAAACAGTATTTATAGACATGGGAAATCCATAGGTTAAAGGAAATAAATTTGATGCCATGTTTGACCCAATTCTTCCATGAGATTAAGTCATAAGAGCAAAGGACAGACAACAGGAAAGAAGAAACCCCTCCCTAGGACAGGAGCAGCAGAGCAGCAGAGGAAGTAGGTTGTTGAAATGCCATTATGCAAAGGGGTGGAAGAGGGACTGCTCTAGGCGGTGCCTAGCAGGGTGGGGACATGCACCTGAGAAAAGCCAAGTCCCAGACCTCATCTGCCTGATCTTGGGCCTTGGGGCAAGGCTTTTCCTGTCTGAGCTTCCGTTTCCTCATTTTAAGGTGACAGTAGCAACTAAACTTATGTCACAGATTGGCTTTCAGGAAAAAAATGTAGACATACTTTGCTAAAGACAGACTCACAAAGAGGCCAGAAAAAGAGACCAGAAAAAAAAGGCCAGAAAAGGCCAGAAAAAGGAATGGAACTTGTGCATAACAGAAATTTTACAGGAGTTACAGAAAGGGTTAAGGAACCGTTGTAGCTTCCAATTAAAAAAAGAGAGAATATGAAACATTATGGCACCAAGAATAGAAAAGGAATGTATGTATTCATTTATAAGGTTTTTTTTTGTTATTTATAAATATTGTAGGGGTGTGTGTGTGTGTGTGTGTGTGTGTGTGTGTGTGTATGTGTGTACACTTTCGGTCACATACATGCACTTGCCAAAGAGATGGTGGGGGTACGGAGTGAGAAATCACCCCCAGGAGGGTTAGTCATGCTGCAATCCCTTCTCCATTCTCCTTTTGCGATTTTGGGCATGCATGCACATATGCCTGGTGTGTTTTTCATGCCACCAGTCTGGAACTTGAACTGTGGACTTGGTCCTGTGTAATCCAGCTGCCTGAACCTCCACACTACCTAGCTGGCCCAACCTTTTAAAAATGTTTAATTTATATTTTGCCAGAGAGTCCTTGCAGTCGCCAGAGAGAGACAGAGACCAGATAGGAGATTGGGAGGGAGAGGAGGCAGCACCCCCAAACAGGTGAGGTCATACCACAATCCCTTCTGCATTTCTTCCTCCTTTTGGGATTTGGGACTTGCACACACAGGTGCCCAGATGGGTTTTCAAGCTGCCAGGCTGGGGACTTGAACCACTGGTCAGCAGTATGGAATCTGACTTCCTTTTGCTTTTTGGAGAGTTTTTTTTTTTTTTTTTTTTTTTTTTTTTTTTTTTTTTTGTGGGG